GGTCAAGCGACTTGCCCAAGGTCACAGAGGTAGCAAGTAGTAAAGGGAAGATTTTAACCTCAGTTCTCAGGTTTCTAATTGAGCACTTTCCCCATGTTTTAATGAATCTTCATTTTGCTCATATTTATCAGGATGTTTCAGATAACAGCAGTTTTTTGTGGGAAGCATGGGTAATTTGTAAAATTGCCCTAACATTTCACAAATGTAGACACAGACTGGCTCCTGCTTCTGGCCTTCCCATTTTATTCTTCCACTGAGAAAGAAAGGTAAATTTCTAGAGAAATGTAAGTTTTCAAGTATTATCAGAGGCTGTAACATCTGATATTATTAGTGTGCTGTCTGGAATGCTTATTAATAATGTCAGGAAATACAGCATATTACAAATATCTGATTTACAAATATCCTATGCCTACAAACTAGAAGGTACAGAAAACAGGTCCACCCAGAACTCCAGAAATGCAGTAAGATAACACAGTGGATAGAATGCTGCAGTTGAATGAAGACCTCAGTTCAAATCCTCCCTCAGACACTTTCTAGCTATGCAAACCTAGGCAAGTCATTAGCTCTCAGCATATTTCCTCATGTGTAAAATGGGGATAATAATAGCCCAGGACTATTGTTAGGATCAAGTAAGATAACATGCATAAAATTCTTTGCAAACCTTAAAGCATTATGTAAATAGTAACTATTGTTGTTGTTGTTTTTGTTGACTAGAGTAGCATAATAGAATTAGAGGAATTTACAATAGTATGTAGAACTAGAATTATACCGTAGTCTCTTCTTTCTGTACATCAGATTACAGTAAACTCCCAAAGCTGCAGTGGGAAAGTGGTGTTCTTTTTCCACTGTGTACTCTCATAAGAAATAATACCATAATACTACTATCTGATAGAAATAGTGCTAATGACTCCCAGTTACATAGCACTTCACTTTTCATTGAGCATTTTCTACATAGTATTTAATTCAATCATGAGGAAGCATACCAGGCTATTCAGAGAGGCAGCCTTAGGGTTAGGAAAAACCTGGTTCAAGTCACAAGTTCTGATACAGTAGCTGTGTGTGGCTGAACAAGTAACAACTTCTCAGCACCAGACTTAGTCATAAAATCCTGAGTTCAAGTCTCAACTTCTGATACATAGTAGCTGTGCATGGCTGGAGAAGTCACTTAACCTCTTATTATTCTCTTGAACAGCTACAGACCCGATTTAGAAGAGTTTTACTATAGCAATGACATCCAAGATCCAGGAAGGAAAAAAAAATCTAATTTGATGAAAAACAACAACAACAGGTATACATATCCATTTTACAGATGTGAAAAAATAGGTTCCCAGAGATAAAGGGACCTGCCCAGCATCATACAATCATTAAAGTGCCAAAGCTATAATCAATCAACAAGCATTTATTAATCACCCACCATACGCCAGGCCTGCCCTATGCTTGGCCCTGGAAATACGAAGACAAAAGGGATACAATCATTTCTACTTACAGACCAGCCTGGTGAGAGAGTACATGCATGTGTACAGATCTGCAGAGAATACATCTCCATCAACTCCCATTCTACCACCTCTCCCATTACTTCCCCTCTATGTCTCCCTAGTCCAGAAAGTAAAGGAATTTTATTTACAGAAAGTAAAGGCTTAAAATCAATCAATTATTCATTAAACATTTATGAAGTACCTACTATGTGCCAGGCACTATGCCAAGCACTGGAGATACAAAAAGAAGCAAAAGACCCTAAAAGAGCTTACAATCTAAATACGGAGGTGTTAATTGTAAAAATTTGGCAGAGCAATTCTTTTATGAAATTCCAACAAGCTCTTGAGGGCATAAGGGATCAACTACCTCATGAACACATTAAAAACTAGATATAAGGTGATTTTAGGAAGACACTAGCAGCTGGGAGCAATCAGGAAAACACTTCATATAAAAGGCAGTGCTTGATCTTCTGCCTAACATTTGCTGCTCTTCTCACTCCTACATTCAGCTACATTATGATTGAAATAGTTGGCACTTTTCAGTGGACTCCAAAACTAACCACTATTTCTAAGAGAAAATGGGCATTCCAAGTTGAAAATACTCCGTTTACAAACTTTAAGAATATAACTTTCTAAGTTGGGAGTTATTTATAGTTTTTGAGGAACATCTGATGAGAAAGAAATTCCGTTTCTGCATGAATTACCAAATGCAATGAGCTCAAACCTCTCAGGCAAATGAAGGTCCTCAAAAGCAGCTTTCTTTTAGTGATATGTGCCTTATTTTACAGCTTTTCAAAAATTCAGAACAAGACTCTTAATTCCTTTAAGAAGGAAAAAAAAGAAAGCTAAAAATCTGAGTACTTTATTAATTTATTTAAAATTATATATAGTGTGTGTATACATGTAGCTACATATATGGCTATATATATGTACATATATCTATATATCTATATATAGAAATATAGATATATAGATATGTACATATATACATACATATATAGTCTTACTCTTTGTGACCCATTTGGAGTTTTCTTGACAAAGATACTGGAGTGGTTTGCCATTTCCTTCTCCAGCTCATTTTAAAGATGAGGAAACTGAGGCAAACATGGTTAAGTGATTTGCCCAGGATCACTCAGCTAGTAAGTGTCTGAGGCCAGATATTAACTCAGGAAGATGAAGTCTTCCTGACTCCAGGCTTGACACTCTATCCACTGCACCACCTATGTATTATTTAGCCCTAGCTTGCCAGACACTCTGAATTGGCTTCCTAATATCTCCTTTTCAGGGGGTTTTTAAATTTATTTTTTGAGCCTCAGTTGCCCCCCTGAAATTGAGATACTACTTCCATTATGTGCTTTCTTGGGTTGATGCTAGGAAAGCACTTTGTAAATCATAAAGAATTATATGCATTACATGAAGAGAGGCCATATGACATAGTGGATAGAGCTCAAGTTATATAGATAATGGTTCAAATTCAGTCTCTTAAACATAGTTGTTGTTTGACCATGGGCAATGTTCCTGGCAATTTTAGCTATATATATATATATATATATATATATATATATATATATATATAAAACCCCTCAGTGACCCAGGCAACCCTCAAAGACTATAAATAACCAGAGTAATTGCTGAATAGCACTGGCACAAGGAATTTCTCACTAGGAATTTTCTACACCAATGAAATCATAAGTCCCACCAAATAAATAAATAAATAAAGCATCGTATAAATGGGGAGCGCTTAGCCCAGGATTTGGAATCAAGAGGCCCAAGTTTGAGTTTTGACCATGAATCTGGTCCTGTGACTTTGGGAACATAGAATGGACTGCCTCAAGAGATAATAGATTTTCCCTCACTGTAGGTCTCCCTTCCCTTTATCTTTTGTTTATAGGGCAAAATGTGGTTTAGAAAGAAGTCTTCTATTTATGGGGGAGAAAGAAAAAAAATTATGGCACTGATAAATTTTGCTTAGACATTTCATGATCTATGGAGACAGGCAGACAGGTGTCATGTAGTGCTGACCTAAGACCCCTGACAACTCAGTAATAGTCCAGGGAGCCATGTATTAGAAGATGCTAAACACAGAACACGAAAGTGGGAAAGATACTTTCCCCAGGCTTCCAATGACCCTAGGGTAATCCTAAGGCTAGCCTGACTATAATGAACCCAGACTAGCCCTTCCAATGATGACTGTGGTAAGAATTGAAAATAAAACAGGCCCATTTTGGTCATTTTTCCTTCAATTTGGGCTATCTGTGATAATAGACTCTTAGCTAATAGAGACGCAATTCAGAGTATTGACCTTGGACATCTAGTTCATGAAGGCTAGTTCCAAGGAAGGAGAAGTAGCTCCAGACCAAGTGGTAATAATTGAGACTGGACCAACTAATTAATCAATAAGCATTTATTAAGCAGCTAGTATATGCCAGCCTCTATGTTAGGTAGGCATTAGGAATACAAACACAACATAAGGTAGTTGCTGCCCTCAAGGAACTTTCATTATACTTGGGGAGGCATAATAAACAATAATAATATTAATCATAGTAAAGTATTTAATGCAGTATCCAGCACATGGTAAGCACTATATAAATGTTAGCTATCATTATTACAATTATTATGCTCACATATAAGTAAATGTAGAACATTTACAATTGTGGGATGGAAAATAGGAAAAGCCTCTTGAAGCACTTGAGGCTGATCTTTGAAGGGAACTGGATTCCAAAGAGGCATGGTTGAGAGGAGAAGAACATCACAGTCATCAGGAATAGGCATGGTGGCCAGGGATGGTGTGTTCTATACCAGGCACAGGATATTCCAAGATCTTGAAATAGACCATCCTGTCCAACCACTGAGGATTTGCCTTTTGCCATAAATCCCCCAAACAGTAACAAAGGAAGGATGGCAGGAGAACAAAGATGCAAGCATTTTAACTCCTGGTTAGGACCTCTCAAAAGGCATATGGCACAATCTCTGTGATTTCTCTGAAACCTCCAAGCAGGCCTGGTGGGGAATATGTGGTTGAGAATAAGAAAAATAGCATTTCCTTATTTCCAGTCCTTCTAGGCTGAGTGGGGCTACAACAATCCTCCCAGCAGAGGGTGCATATTTCCAGAAGGTTTTCTCATCTTATTGGCCTCTCCTCCCAGTCTGGCTGAGTCCTAGGGACACCCCCACCCTTCCCTTAATATTCATCAAAGGGCATCTAGCCTATTAAAGAAAGAAGAGAAGGAAGAGGGGGATGGGGAGAGAAGAGAAGGGAAGAAAGAGAAAATGCAGAGAGAGAAGGAAGACAGTTCTGGACTCTAGGGAGGGAAGGGATTGTGCAAACGCGCAGAAATAACCACAATAATGACGTGACCTCTCAGTCACACTCCATGCGGGGGGGGAAGGGGGAAGATCAGTGTTACAAGGGACACCGTGGGCATTTAAATGCCAACAGCATTTTCTGCCCAGCAATCCAGAGGAATGACATTATTTTAACCGGCGCAACTCGGTGGAATGCAGGGAGGTAATAACCAAGCTTACCTGCTGATGACCTGGCTTGGGACACAAGGAGGAAGCAAGCGACCACGAGGTTTCGGCTCAAGGTGACGAGCGCCGCTAGAGCCATCTGCATTCCGTACTCTGGTCGGCGGCAGGACCTGACAATGCAAACCTGCCGCCTCTGCTGCCCCTTCAGCTCTGAGACCCAGGCTTTATCACTTTCAACTGATGATGCTGATGCTGATGCTGATGCTGCCACCTGCAGCCCACCTGAGGCCACTAAATACTTCCAGTTCTCTACCGGCATTCCACTTGTCCTACTTTAGTGGGAATCTACCCTCCTCCACCAGCCATTTCTAATTGGGGGTAAGGGGAAAAGGGAGCAGCGATCTTCTAAAAACTGGAAACACCTGGAATAGCAAGTCATCACATCCAAGGATTTAAAGTTGGGAAGGACCTTAGATATTGCCTAGTTTAGGGGGTTCTTAACCTGGGGTCAGAAGACTCTGTGAACTTGGATGGGTGAAAAATGACATCATCTTAATTTTCAATAACCTCTAATTGAAATTTAGCATTTCTTTTCATTATGAATGTAGGCAACAAGTCACAGCTGTATCAGCAGTACATGTGACTTTGCCACCACTAATATTCACATATATTTTCATATCACATAATTGTTGCAGATATTGCAAAATATAGGCCATGCTTATCACTCCTTAGAAATTACTGTATTTATTAGACCTGCTGCTGGATCAAACATGATTGAAGTTTTTACAAAGGTTTCCTTTGTAATTCAGAGTCAGGAAGACCTGAGTTCAAGTCTGATTTCCGATACTAGCTATGTGACCCTGGGCAAGTCAACCTCTGTTTGTCTTGGTTTCTTATTTCATAAAATAAGTTGTTGTGAGAATCAAATGATAATAACTATAAAGCACTTAGTACAATACCTAGCACATAGTAAGTACTATAGAAGTGTTAGACAGCATTATTATTTAATTTTATGCATTTAAAAACTGTCTGAGAAAGGTCCATAAGCTACAGCAGATTGCCAAAAGGATCTATGACTTCTGCTAGATTGCACTGGATTAAAGCCTTCCTATCTATATTTTAATATAAATTGATTTCTTTTGTAATACTATGTATTTTATACATTTAAAAACATTCTAAGAAGGGATCCATCAATTACACCAAACTGACAAAGTGGAATGACATTTAAAAAAAATGGAACAGCCTGTGGTCTAATCCAACCATTTTATATTAAGGAGAAAAGTAGTAAAGTAGAGAAGTTATTTGACCAATGTCACCTAAGTAGGGAGAGGCAGAGAGGTTGGATTCAACATAGGTCATTTGACTCCAAATACAGCATAGTAGGTAGAAAGAGTAGAATTTTTAGAGATGAGCATGTAGACATGGGCTAGTGCATGCTTACCAGACTTGTGATTTCATTGGTAGAGGGAATTTCCAGCGAAGGAACTCCTTCAGCTCATGTAGGTTAGCACTCATCTTTATACTCTTAGAGAGCTGACCTGGGTTGCCGAAATCACACAGCTACTATATGCCAGAGTCAGAACTTGACTAGGACTTCTTGACTCTGCAGCTATTCTGCTTCTGGATTCCATACTGCTTTATGTACTTAATTCAGTAGTTACATAGTCATAAAATAAAACCTGAAGTTCCTCTAACTTGCTAGGGCAATGGAGTGTTTTGGTTAAGTTTTCTGGTTAACCATATTGGGGTAATGATGGTGGAATGTGCTTGAATCCTTTTTGCAAAGCCTTCTAAAATGTATCAAACTGTAATGAATTCAGAGAAGCATGGAAGAAAACGAGCATTTATTAAGCACCTATCTGTGCCAGGCACTATGCTAATATTATCTCATTTGATCTTCACAGCAATCTGGGAGGCAGGTGCTATTATTATCCTCATTTTATAGTTCAGGCAAATAGAGATTAAGTGTCTTGCTGGTCAGTGTCTAAGGCTAGATTTGGATGGAACTCATTGAAAGGACCCTGATGTTGGTAAAGTTTGAAAGGCAAAAGAAAAAGGAGACAGCAGAGGGTGAGATGGATAGTGTCATAGAAACAATGAACATGAACTTGGACAGACTTTGCAAAGTAGTAGAGGATAAAAGGGCTGACATGCTATGGTCCATGAGATCACAAAGAGTTGGACTTGACTGAACAACTGAACAACAAAATTTCCTGACTCCAGGCCCAGTGCTCTCTCCACCATGCCAAATAGTGAAGAAAGGATAACTAGGAAAACAGTGTACATAGTAGCTACAACAGTGTAAACAGAATGAACAACGAAAAGAAATTAAATGATATATAATTATAATACCCTACATTAGCTGAGGAGAACTGAGAAAGAGTATCTCTTCAATTAAGAAGTGGTGGCCATGAATATCAGACATGATAGGAGAGTTGTTGGTTTTGTTGAACTGCTTTTAAAACATTTTTTATCTTATACCCTGGGGTTTAAGAGAATTCCCCTTCCAGAATCCAGTTCAGTCCTGTGGAAGTCTGATCCCAAAGAGTGAAAATTAGGGTTGTTATTGTTTTTTTTCTTGAACTCTTTGACTTATTTGTCTTACCCCCACCCCACAGATGTATGGAAAATCTTTTAAACAAAGTTTAGGTATGGTTCATGACAACTATCTCCCCTAAAAGGGATAAATAGGGTTCCTTCTAGAAAGGCTACTCAGTGCAAAAAGTAGTAGATATCAGATATATAATAGATACTAAGACCACGTTGGAGTGAGGCTGAGGCTCAATTCAACTGGCTGCTAGCATCAGGCCAGGCAGCCCCAGAAATGGCCTCTGTCTCCAAGCTAGACTGCATCTACTAAGCCCCCATCCTACATGATAATGAAGTCCTGGTCACAGAAGATAAAATCAATGCCCTCATTAAAGCAGCAGGTGTAAATGTTGAACCTTTCTGGACTGATTTATTTGCAAAGGGCCTAGCCAACACTGACATTGGAAGCCTCATCTGCAATGTAGGAGTTGATGGAGTTGCCCCAGAATCTGGTGCTGCTACTACTGTAGTTGCTACCCCTAATGCTGGTGCTGCCTCTGCCAAAGAAAAGAAAGAGGAAGTTGAGAAAGGAATCAGAGAAATCAGATGATGACATGGGCTTTGGTCTTTTTGACTAATTATCTCTTGTAATACAGCAAATAAATAATTGAGCTCTGAAAAAATTTTTGTTTTTCCCAGTTACATGTAAAGACAAACTTTAACATTCATTTAAAAAAGTTTTTTTGAGTTTCAAATTTTCTCCCTCCCTCCCTCACCTCCACCTGCCCTAAGACTGTAAGCAATTTGAAATAGGTTGTATATGTTCGATCACGTAGAACATGATTCCATTTCAGTCATGTTGTGAAAGAAGAAACAGAACAAAAGAAAAAAAACATGAAAAATAGCATGCTTCAATCTGCATTCATATTCCATCAGTTCTTTCTCTGGATTTGGATAGGATTTTTCATCATGAGTACTTTGGAATTGTCTTGGATCATTGTATTGCTGAGAATAGAGAAATCATTCACAATTGATCATCATGCAATATTGTTGTTACTGTGTACAATGTTTTCTTGGTTCTGCTCATTTCACTTTACATCAGTTCTTGCAAGTCTCTCCAGGTTTTCCTGAAATCAGCCTGCTCATCATTTCTTATAGCACAATAGTATCCCATAACAATAGTATACCACAACTTGTTCAGCAATTCCCCTATGGGCATCCCCTAAATTTCTAATTCTTTGCTACCACAAAAAGAGGTACTATAATATGGATATTTTTGTACACATAGGTTCCTCCCCATCCTTTAAAAAAAATTCTTTGGGATACAGACCTAGTTGTGGTATTGCTATGTACAGTTTGATTGACCTTTGGGCAAATTGGAAGACTGCCAAGTATCTTATATTGTCTACAGTCATTTTAAATGGAATTTTTCATTTTATCTCTTGTGCTGGGCTTTGTTGGTAATTTATAGAAATGATGACAATTTATATGGGTTTATTTTCTATTCTGCAACTCTGCTAAAGTTAATTATTTCAAGTAGTTTTTTAGTTGATTCTCTAGGATTCTTTAAGTATACCATCATATCATCTGAAAAGAGTAATAGTTTTGTTTCTTCACTACCCATTCTAATTTCTTCAATTTCTTTTTTTGCTATAGCTAACATTTCTAGTACAATATTAAGTAATAGTGGTGATAATGGGCACCTTGCTTCACTCTTCGTCTTACTGGAAAAGTATATCCTCATTACATTAAATGCTTGGTGATGATTTTATTTTATTTTAGTGAGGCAATTGGAGTTAAGTGACCTGTCCTGAGTCACACAGCTAGTAAGTGTTACGTATCTGAGACTGAATTTGAGCTCAGGTCCCTCCTGAGTCCAGGGCTGGTGCTCTATTCACTGTGCTACTTAGCTGCCCCCTTGCTGATGATTTTAAATAGACACTACTTATCACTTCAAGGAAAGCTCCATGTATTCTTATATTCTTTAGTGTTTTTCATAGGAATGAGAGTTGTATTTTGTCAAAAGCTTTTTGTGCATCTATTGAGATAATCATATGGTTTCTGTTGGTGTTATTATTGATAAGGTCAATTATGCTGATACTTTTCCTAATATTGAACCAGTTCTACATTCCTCGTATCAATCCCACCTGGTCATAGTACATGATCCTTGTGATATAGTAATCTCCTTGCTATTTTATTTAAATTTTTACATTAATATTCATTAGGGAAATTGGTCTATAGCTTTGTTTTTTGTTTTTATACTTTTCTTCCTCTGTTTTCACTCTTCCTGGTTTAGGTATCAGTGCTATATTTGTGTTATAAAAGGAATTTGGTAGGACTTTTTCTTGCCTATTTTTCCAAATAGTTTATGAAGTATTGGAATTAATTGTTCTTTAAACATTAAGTAGAATTAACTTATGAATCCATCTGGTCCTGGTGATTTTTTCTTAGGTATTTCACTGATGTCTTGCTCAATTTCTTTTTCTAAGATGAGGTTATTTAAATATAGTATTTCTTCTTCCGTTAATCTGGACAATTTATATTTTTGTAAGTATTCATCTATTTTACTTAGATTGTCAGGTTTATTAGCATATAATTGGGCAAAATAGCTCCTAATAATTGCTTTAATTTTCTCTTCATTTGGTGGTGAATTCACCCTTTTCATTTTTGGTTTTCTTTTTTTTTAATCAAATTAGTCAATGGTTTATCTATTTTTTTCATAAACCCAGCCCCTAGTTTTATTTATTAGCTCAATAGTCTTCTTAGTTTCAATTTTATTAATCTTCCTTTTGACT